GTTCAAACACATCAAGCCCGAGGATAGGAAAGAGTGGAGGTGCGTGTCCAACCAGTCTTAGAACTGACGACCTTATGATAATGATGAGATACTAACAATTAGATTTATATTATAACTTAAATGGTATGTAATAAGGAAACTTGCCAAGTTAAAAATTAAATACATTATAAAATAAGCACAGTTAAATATTTCAATAATTTTCTTTCGTTTGATACACAGCCTTGATGACATCAGTTTATGTTTTCCGTAAGAAATAACTGTTATAATTAGAAGAATTAAGGTAGGTACAATATGGTGAAATATTACATAATTGTGATGTTTGTGTGATTATGTAAATTTGCTTTTTTTTACAAGTATCAAAAACGCTGCTGGCATGAGATTTTATTTTATTTGGCCATAAATTTTTACGCCAGTTAAAAACTTATTATTTAATTTTATCAGCACAGTTAATCAAACAGTTTGCTAATACTTGTTTTAATTTAATACTTCATTATTACTTCACATTCTTGCCCGTGAAAAATGCGACGTATTCGCCGGAGTGTATGATACATTTTATTGCTTAAAAGTTCGATAATATCATACAAGTTAGAACACTCTCGCTTACAACACCTGCTTTGAATATTAGAAGTTGAAATTTTTGTTCTATTCTCATTATTTATGCAAAAATATGTTTGAAAGAGAAAAATAGCTTTTATGTTTTCAACCAAAGACCGGTTTTAATACATCTATAACGATATTTATGGAACATTAGACGCATAAAATACATACTTAATAAATTCCGCTTTTGTTTTTTTAATTAGCGAAAACTACAGGATTGTATCATGTCTATGCAATTAGTAGATATTTATTCTGGTTCTCACAATTTAATAACTGTTATTATAGTTAATAAGCATCTTATTATTCCTGTGATCGATTGAATTGATCTTTCCGAACAACACAAAATAACAATGGAAAAAACTGTTTGAAATTCATTATCTTGCTTACTCAATTTCATCATTATTGCTATCCCCGCATAATAAATTTACAATTTGTTTTTGTATTCCGTAAGTTTGCGTTTTAGTAAATCAATTAATTTTGGGGTAAAGGCGCATTCACACAAAGCGACTAGCATTGCAGTTCAAATATCGCTACCTTTCGAACAAAACAAAATAACAACAGAAAAAAAGTTTGAAATTCATTGCTTTGCTTACTCAATTTCATTATTACTATCTCCGCTTAATAAATTTACAATTTGTTTTTGTATTCCGTAAGTTTGCGTTTTAGTAAATCAATTAATTTTGGGGTAAAGGCGCATTCACACACTATCTCGTTCATTCATTCATTCATTACTGAATCCGCGGGCAAGGTCAATACAATTAGTGCTGAGTTTAAACAATTTTGCATAAGGAAAAACATTGTTGTTGGATTATAAAACATGTAGGTACTTTCAATCATATGCCACAGGTTGGTTATTTATTTTCTTTATCTTCTACATATCTCTGTACAATACTGTGGAATGTAAATTACGTAAGCAACAAATTTTGTACAACATGTTTGTATTACTTTTACTGTTTATAACATAATGATACGCTATTGCTGTACAAAAATTATGATAGAATGTTAAAAAAGAAAGCACAATCGTGAGTTAAGATGGTATGACTATTATTGTACTAATCACAAGAAAAAAATATTTCATTAACTGGCCGCAAAAAAAAATAAATTTAATTTGGAAACATTAGGTACATTTATTTTTTTATTTAGATATAAAAGAAAATCAATTACGTTTATATCTTTTTCATATTTGTTTATAAACTTATGATGTATTA